AATGTGCACCAAACGGGGGCTTAGCCCCTATTTGATGACCATTATTTGAGAGAAAACAATATTTTGAATAATGATTTTTAGGAGAATGAATAGTTAAAAAGTATAGAAAAGTTTTAAGTTTCCACGTCAAATCTTTTATTGTGTGAATATGCATTAAAAATGACCATGTAGAAAAAAATATTTTCAGTTTAACTCTTTAAATTTGAAAAGTCAAAATCACTCTCTATTTCAAAAAATTAAAATAGTCTCTTGTAGATTATTTTTAAACATTAACTCTTTAAAATAAAGAGTGTTATGTATCTAAAGTGTCTTTTGAAGATGCTTTTACATTCCTCAACAATGGTGAAAGTTATTGTTAAGATTTATGTTTCCATTTTAAAAGGTCAACATTGTTACAAGGAGTAACCAAAATCTTTATAAATTGATTTATGTTTACATCTTAACATGTTATCAGAGCCCATTAACCTCTAACGAGCAATTCGATCTGGTTAAGATTTCAAAAGTGAATATATGGATTTCAAGATTGGTATGCTCAAACAAACAACCATTTTGCAAGGCATGTTAAAGGATACAATCCCACATCGAATAAAAATGTAAACATAAATTAACTTATAAATGATTGAATTACTCTTTTTACTAATGTTGACCTTTGAAGATGGAACTTCAATTCTTAAAATGGTATTAGAGCCCATTAAACTCCAACGAGTAATTCGATCCGATTAAAACTCAAAAAAATTGAGTACATAGATTTTAAGATTGATATGCTCTAATGAATCACCATCTTGGGGGGACATGTTAAAGGAAAAAATCTCACATCAAATAAATATGAAAAATATAGACCAACTTATAAATGATGAAGTTACTCTTCTTAATAAGGTTAACATTTTAAGATGAAACCTAAAATTTTAACATGGTATCAGAGCCCATTAAGTTCTAACGAGCAATTCGATCCGATTAAGATTTCAAAAGTGAGCATACGGATTTCAAGATTGGTCTGCTCAAACGAGCAACCATCTTGCGGGGCATGTTAAGGGAAAGAATCCCATATCGAATAAAGATGAAAACATAGATCAATTTATAAGAGTTTGAGATTCCATTTTAAAATGTCAACCTTATTAAGAGGAGTAACTCAATTATTTATAAGTTGTTCTATGTTTATATCTTTATTCGATATGTGATTCTATCCCTTAACATGCCCCCGTAAGATGGTGACTCGTTTGAGTAGACCAATCTTGAAATCTGTATGCTCACTTTTGAAGTTTTAATCGGATCGAATTGCTCGTTAGAGCTTAATGGACTCTAACACCATTTTAAGATTTGAGATTCAATCTTAAAATGTCAATCTTGTTAAGAGGAGTAACCCAAAGCTTTATAAGTTGGTTTATATTTACATCTTTATTTGATGTGAGATTATATCCCTTAACAGTTATAAGGGTGCATTTGGTATAACATAGTGGATTAGATTTTTAAAAATATATATATATATTTTTTCTGAAAATATATTTTGAACAACTTACTTTTTAAGTAAAAATTTTTTTTTTTTAAATTTAACTCTTAAAAAAAATGTAAATCTTAATTATTTATAAGTAACTCTTTAATAGTTTTTGATAAATATGTTTGGATAATTTTCCTTTTAATTAAAAGGTTAATTTCATTACACTTTTGTTAAATATAAATATGTTCCTTTAAATTAAAAGGTTAATTTCATTACACTTCTGTTAAGTAAGTAACTTAACTTTGATCCATAGAAAATTATTGTTTTAAGGGAAATTGGATGAAGATTCCTTTCTTGACAACCCTTTAGAAATATGGCCAAACTTTGTAAGTTCTGTAGCCATGGCTATTTAAAAAAAAAAA